GGCCTCAGGCTGCGCGAGACTGAAGAAGAAGAACTGAAGGCAGGGAAGGGAAGTAGGGAACGAGAGAGAAAAGGCTTAAGGGTTAGGGTTTTGTTAAAAACATTAAAAAATTAAAAATAACCTCACAAATCCTGGCATGAGGGTTCGAACCCATGCCTCCAGCTTGTAAAGTTTCATTGAAACCAACTTGGCAACAGGTTCTGTTTTGTTATGTTTGTATGACTAAACAATTTATAAATATTCAAAAAAATTATATATATATATATATATATCGGTTCGGTTCGGTTTCCAAGCCTCAAAAACCGAAACCGAACTGGTCAGATTCGGTTGGTTCGGTTTGACAATTTCGGTTCGGTTTTTTTCTGCCTCAGTCCGGTTCGGTTGTCGGTTTTTTTCGGTTTTCGGTTTTTTGAACCCACCCCTAGTGTCTCATACTCCGGGTGAAATCCGGATATCAATTCTCAAGATTAATGGTGCCACAAAATAAATTGCATAACCTTTCGAATGGTCCAGGAAGGTAAATGAGGTCCTTGGAGCCCTGAAGTCACAAGATGTTGGACTCTATGAATTTGTCAGAAAGAATGATGTCGCCATATTCTACAGACATTGTTCTGAATCTCGCAAGATCCATCGCCGAGAGCGGCTTCAAAATCTAAAGGGCTGTGTTAGTGGGGATCGGCATGCACAAATTCTGAAGGGTTGTCCCAGTGGGTGCTCCAGCACGAGTTCTCGTCATATTCTCAAGGGTATTTGTTGTCATTTCTCTAAAGATCAAATCTTTGTCTAAAGATGGTAGAAAGGGAGGAGAGAGAAAAAAAGGGAGAGATTGTACTTTGGTTCAAGATGAAGGTCTAATGCCAATGGTTAAGTGAGATGAAAGCGAAAGAGAGGGCGATAGTTGTAATTTGCAAAAGTAAGGCCATCTCCAACCGAAGGAGGGCCAAAAGGCCATGTTTAGCCTTATAAGTTCTTCTTTTGAACATGCAAAATTAAGTGTTCTTCGATCTCCATTTTTGCCATATCTTCTTTGTTTCCCCGAATGCTTAAGCCAATTCGCGCAACATACCCATTATAGAGATCATAAGCTTCTTGCTCATTTTTTACAATCTTTTTATACAAATCTTCAACATAATCCTCTTCAGAATTCATAATAGGGGTGAACTGCTGAGTTTTTGTTTCGATCATTATTTTCTTATGTGGAGGAGGATGACAAAATTAAATGATAGAAGTAGATGTAATAGATGGAAGAAAATAATATAATATTATCTTGCTTATTTGGTTTGCCTAATCCATCTATGTCGAGGCAAAGCCCTAAATCCGTTTTGTTGTTGCATACAAGTTTTACCCAGTCGAAGAGTATACAACTTATTATTATTATTTTTTTACCCCAAAGTGAAATGGTTCAAAAATTGCACCTATGAGATATATAACTAGCGTTTTGAGTCTACGTTTCCCTCTATTTAAGTGCTAATTGTGGATGCAAATTTCCATTGTCTCTTCTTCTGAAGAAAATGCACCTGCAAAATAATACCACATTCAATTAGAGCAGTTCCACCGTGGGAAAGGGCCCCCCGGGCTATCCACTATTTAATCCACCTAGTGAACAATAATTGCCCTTAATGAATAGTAATTGCCTTTTGCATCTTCACCCATACACTTGAATAGCCCTGCCAACAATTAAATAAAATAAATATATTTTTGCAATTGTTTGGAATTTCCCGTGCACCTCTCCACTCCCTCACATCACTCCCTTTCTTTCCACTCATCTTTCTCACTTCTCTCCATTTTTCTCTGAAGTTCCTTTCTCTCTCTCTCTCTCTACACTCTCACTTTTCTCCATTCTTAAAACTGACTCCCTTCCTTTTCTTTCTTCCATCTCCTTTTCTCACTTTCACACTAAAACCAACCAAACAGCCCTCACATAGACACAGACACAGACACACCCAATCTCTACAAACTCACAAATTCTAATTTCAAAACTAATTCGAAAAAATGAAGTGCAAATCAATCCGAGCGATGCAGAACCTCCAAGCGGCGCAGTACCTGGAGGTGAGGAAGAAGCTCCGGTCAATGCTCCCTCGCTGGAAGCGTCCTCAGATTTCTCCGGTTCTTTACTCGCCTCTGAAGCACAATGCTCGCAACGAAACCTCCGGTTTCTCCTTGAACGCCAAGGCAAAACAGAAGAAAAAACGTGGCTGACGTCAAGGCGACATCAGCCTTGCATCAAACCCACTCCGTGCTCTCGAGTTGGCAACTCTCCACCGGCTTCTCACTTGGTCCCGCTCGGGCTCCCTTGCTAGCACACGCTGGACTTGATTGCTTGGGCTCTCTAGCCCTGTTCACTCTCCTGTCCCTCGGGTTCCAGCACACGCTGGAGCTGCTCTTAAGGCCAAAAGCCTCACACACCCACGATGAATTGGGGTGGGGGGATTTGGCTAAAGAACCTCTGATGCCAAAGTTAGAATTATGAAAATAATGTATTTTTAGGAGTTTGTGGTAACAAAATGACTTAGCATTTTAGTGGGATAAATTAAGTATTTATAGGAGGGGGTCGGCCTTTAGGGTTGGGAGTGGCCGACCATATACGACGGAAATGGGTGAAATAATTCAAGATATTATGTGAAATAACATTTTGAATTTATTATGGTAATTATTCCAAATTAAATAGGAGATTCTGGAAGTTACCTTATTGAATGAAATCAACGAGGGATTGATGAGTGACATTTGAATAAATTCTTTAATGATCGCCTTTAACTCTTCCATTGATGAAGGGGATTTTGAGCCGTCCGTTGCATGTGCGTGAAAATTTAGGTGTGCCTTGTTTGTCTAACGAGGGTAATCTTGTCTTTCTTGTCCAAAAATCCATATGTCGCCTCTATGATTTTAGAAATTATTTTTGGCACCACACTAATCACCAGTCTCCCAATCTAAGCTAGGATAAATAATTTAGCTCATTTGAAGGGGAAATAAAACAAAGTGAATACATAAAAAGAAAAAGAAATAAAATATGAGAAACGCTAAGGAGATTATGTTAGAGTGAGCTTTTTTATAGACTCTCTCTCACTTCATGTTTTTGGTACAATATTTTATGATATCGGCACGAGAATTGTGGTAAAAACATAAGGTGGTGGAGAGTTCATTAAGAATCTCATTTTTCAGATAGTCTCTTTAGCATTTCTCGTAAAATATTGTAGACAAAAAACATGAGTACTAGTAGGGTCCATTTCAAGGTTTGCAGCAGCTGTCACCGTTTCCTCCTAGGAACCAAGTACTTCCTTCTAGGGGTAGAAACCAAGTACTTCCTTCTAGGAGCAGGAACCAATTACTTCCTTCATTCCCATGTTTAACGCGTGGCATCTGCCAAACACATTTGCACATAGTTGATGAATTATCCCCCCGTGTGATTAAGGGCTCGTTCGTCTGATTGTGTTTTTTAAATAACTGAAAGTGTTTATAGAAAAAACTGTTTTTGGGTTTTTACAAAAAGTATCAGTTATGTGCTTTTTTCTAGGAAGCGCTTTAAGTGATTTTTCAGGATTTATTAGCATTTTTACTAAGGATTGTTTCCAAAAATATTTTCATCAAAAATATTTTCAGTCATTTTAAAAACACAACCAAACGAGTTCTAAGTCGTTTGTATAGATTGTCCACTTGCTTTTGCATTCCCTTAACTAGTAAAAGAGCGTCAATTACCTCCCTTCCATTTCATCCAAATTTTTGTTAAGTTGTGTTACGTGAGAGGCATGTGAAACAGTTTCGAGGATTGGAATCAGACTGGAAAAAACAAAAAGATTCGACAAAATTTCATCCAAATTGCTTGGACGAGAAGGGCGTAATTTTGAGTGAAAGAAATCGAGAGTGACTTAAGTCCTGAATCGTCTGATGGTTGTGCCTCTATGTAGTGGATTTACCCAATCGACGTATGCACGACTGTCCTGGTTGTCGAAGCGATGAGGGTTCGCATCAAATTCATTAGAATCAAAGACGAGAGTCATAGTGGACGCCATCGCCTAGAAAGGATACTAGTAGCTGCTTGTAAACCCTAACCCTAATTCTTCACGGTTTGTTTGGAAGATAACTAGACAATTTATAGGATGGAATTTGTAAACCCTAACCTTAATTCTAATATATATACATAAATATGATTCACAAAGACCCACAATACTACGGCTATTCCTTATTGAGGTTTATATGCCATATATAAATCTAATAAAATGTCAAACAATTAATATCAAATATATAGAAGTATTCATATTATTAGTAATATAATGATGTGTACAAAGTTAAAAAACTTTGATCAAATTTAAATACCATTAGAATTTTGGTAAAAAAAATGTTAATAACTAGAAACCGAATTCAAAATATCCTCAAAAAAATATAGAAAACTACTCTGAAAAATTAGTAAGAAAGAAAGGTTAAAAGCAGTAGATGTACGTCTGCCTACCCTTCCTGACACTATCACCACCACAAATCTTAATTTGGTTCAAGGCTGGTTTAGGGCTATGGTACTTTGGAAAAAAACAACTTATTAGAAAAGCTAGAACATCAAAATGACAATCTTTGATCATGCATTACTCTTTAGCAATTATTACATCACATTAAATATTATATCATTTTGAATCATTTAACATATTTACATCAATAGAAACAATTTTTATAAAAAGCTCTCGCAAATTCCAGACTTTTTACCTGCAAGATATCTTATAAGCAGATTTGATGCCCTAATTTATCTTTTATGCAGCACCTCTTGACCAATCCCATGAGTGTCATGTCAGTAACTCTACCTCAAATTAAAACACTTGTTATTGAGGATATGCGGCATAAAAATACAAGTAGCATCAAACAAGAAGATGCCTATTGACCAATGTTTACTAACTAATTTTTTAACTATATTTTGCTTAAAAACGACACTACGTTTTCCAAATCTCTGATAAACTGTCCTTCACGTATTGACTACTTATCTTGATGATTATGTAAGGAGAACTACTCTATGTGGATGATAACGTTTGTCTTTTCTTTTCTCCCAAACTTTAAATTTCTCATTCTCCCTTCTTTAAATGTAGGCAGTCAGGGAAACCCAAGCCGGTGTGAAGCCTCCAGGAGTTTGGGGGACGCTGAATAGGGTCATTGACCCTGTCAAGAACAAAGCCCCCCTTCAAAACTGTATGTGAACTCCCTACTTCTAGTTTTGATTTATTTCTCTACCGTTCCACCTGCCATGAGTAATTGGATTTGCAGCTGATTTCGCTGAGAATAGTTCTAAGGTCGCCTTTTAGTTAAAATAGATTATTGATGGCATTCCTTTTTTCTTTTTGTAACAGTACAAAACTATCGCCTCTTGCGGACTGCCCTTGGAACGCAACTTACCTGCGATGTTCCTTTTTCTGCAATCTGTTGGTCAACCCTTGAGCCATTGAGCCAGTGAGTCACATTATTTTTTAGAAAATTCAAAACTTACCTTCTGATTTTCTTTTATGCCTTGCACCAGCTGTTGTAGACAACGTGATTCAACTTATTCATTTGCCCCTTCTGTGCAGATCAGGCGAAGAATTCTTGGTCTGGTGGGTGATGAACCCAGCGCAGCCAGTGTCCTCCGGGCAAATTTCTCTGATTTGTTGCAGGAAGCCTTGCAGCTGCTGCTACGTGTCCATTAGATGTGGCAAAAACTCAACGACAAAATAGTCTGTAGACGTTATTTCTCTAAGATAAGCTTCACCATGATTTTGTTTCCTTTCCTTTCTTGTCATTGTACTGAAAGAAACAGTGATGCAATCCTAGATATGCTACAGAATTTATTCACGAGATTCTAGCGCACCCAAAATTAAAACGATGATCTGTTTGAATTTAAAAGTTTTCTTTTTGCAGAAGGATCCTTTTCTTCCTTCCTTTTCAATTTCCGTTCTCCCTGAGTTTAATCTCAGTTTTCTTTGAGACAAGTCTCAACTATCCCGGACTTTATGCCTCTTATTCGGCGTTTTTCACCTATCGTTTTCTGTCTTTTAATTTTCATTCCTCCCTCTTCCTTAGCCAATCCGACAAAAAATTGAATATAAGATCCACTTCCCTCCCTCACTCCTCTTCCCCCACCCCAACCGGCATGCCGTGTCCCCATCAAGGCCAATTGTTTTGTGGCCTTCGCCATAGTAAGGGTATTTTACATACCCCTTAACCTTATTTTTTTACCCATAAAATACTTTGTTTGTATATATTTGCAGGGATTCGTGCAGGAACTTGAATATGATGTTTACTTTCTCAGTTTAGAGTTTGGCTTCTTTGAGGATGTGGATGTGGCAGTGATCTGTTTATGGTGCTTTAGATTAGGGTTTTATGTTGTTTGTTTTTTCAGCCTTAGGGCCTAAGCTTATGTGTGTCTCGCATTGTATCTTGGTTGTGGCTCTTATTTTGCTTAGTCCTTGTACTTTATATTGATGCTTAGGCCTTGTACCACACCCCTGGGCGATGTGGGATGTGGTCCTTATATGTATATTCTCATCTCTACCTAGCACGAGGCCTTTTGGGAGCTCACTAACTCCGAAGTTAAGCGAGTAGCGCGCGAGAGCATTCCCAGGATGGGTGACCCATAGGGAAGTTCTCGTGTGAGTTCCCAGAAACAAAATCGTGAGGGTATGCTGGGGGCCCAAAGCGGATAATATCGTGATATGGTGGTGGAGCGGGCTCGGGAAGTGGTCCCCCCAGGCCGGGATGTGACAATTTGGTATTAAAGCTTAACCCTGGCTGCATGTGTGTCGACGAGGACGTCGGACCCTTAAGGGGGCTGGATTGTGACATCCCACATCGCCTAGGGGTGTGATCCTTATATGTATATTCCCATCTCTACCTAGCACGAGGCCTTTTGGAAGCTCACTGGCTTCGGGTTCCATAGGAACTCCGAAGTTAAGTGAGTAGCGCGCGAGAGCATTCTCAGGATGGGTGACCCATCGGGAAGTTCTCGTGTGAGTTCCCAGAAACAAAACCGTGAGGGTGTGCTGGGGGCCCAAAGCGGACAATATCGTGCTATAGTGATGGAGCGGGCCCGGGAAATGGTTCCCCTCGGGCCGGGATGTGACACTTAGCCTCAGTTTTTACCCATAAGATACTTTGTTTGTATATATTTGCAGGGATTCGTGAAGGGACTTGAATATGGTGTCTACGTTCTTAGTTTAGAGTTTGGTTTCTCTAAGGATGTGGCTGTGGCAGTGATCTGTTTATGCTGCTTGAGATTAGGGTTTTTTGTTTGTTTTTTCAGCCTTAAGGCCTAAGCTTATGTGGGTCTCGCGTTGTATCTTGGTTGCGGCTCTCATTTTGCTTAGGCCTTGTACTTTATGTTGATGTTTACCTGGCTCTTTTTGAGCCCTTATACTAGTTTTTAATAATAAAAAAAATAATAATAAACAAACAAACAAACAAAGACTACCAAAATGGGGATTAATTCCAAAATACTATGTTCTGACATCTAAAAGCATCTCCAAATGGGATATCAAAAGATAAATGTCAAATGTTAATTTGATGGTTGACGTGGTAATGTCATATTTTCTCTTTTTCCAACTGATATGTTTTTTTTTTGTTATAAATGATATATGTAGGACTCATTTTAAAACGAAATCAATTAAAATAAATTTAAAAGTATGAGCAAGCTCCAACCAATAAGTTAATCCTATGTGGATTGAAATATGAGTTTTCATATGTCAAATTTGACATATAAGAAAAGGTGATGCCAAATAATTTTCAATTATTTTATTATGTGGGTCCCATTTATGCACTAATTATAGATTTTGAAAATTTATTTAAATTGATTTATTTTTAAAATGGGCCTACAAATATCATTTATAACAAAAAAACATATCGGTTGGAAAAAGAGAAAATCTGACATCGTCACGTCAGCCATCAAATTAACATTTAACATTTATCTTTTGACATCTCCATTGAAAATACTCTAATAGGAGAGTTTCTCCGGTACAAATGCAAATACGCCAATGTCAATGGTGTTTAGGGTCCGAAAGAAGTACTTAAACTCCCTAATTTTCTTTATTCCATTTTCAAGACTCTAACTCTTTAGAAAGATTCATAACAGGAAGCATAAAAGACTTGTAAAGTAAATATACATACTAGAAGTTAGGATGACTAGGGAAAAGTGGATGGGGAAGATAGAAAGAGGTTTACACACAGAGACAAATGGAGAAGATGGACTTGTTAGGGTTTTGATTTTTGATAATTAAGGACATGTTTGGTTAATTAGCTGGGTTCTTAATAAGGATAGTTTAGGTACTATCAGTCCGATGCACTTTTGTTCAAAACATGGCATGTTGATTGGAGATGGGTTATTAGAAATTAGCTGGGTTCTTAAAAAGGATAGTTTAGGTACTATCAGTCTGATGCACTTTTGTTCAAAACATGGTCTGTTGATTGGAGATGGGTTATTAGACAGTTGTAGCTATTTTTCATTTTTGGACATTTAGCTATTCTTATTGGAGATGCTTTATTTATTTTTTGGTTGGAGATGAATTTGTGCATAAAAAAGTGGTCAAAGGTACGAATCAATGCCCAAAATCAACTAAGTTGACTATAGATAGCATGAATTGAGTAAACATTATACTTAGAGAAAATGAAATTACTTTGGAGAGAGGGTTTCCAATAATAATGGAACTAAAGAAGCACAATTACGTTACGAACATTTATTAATACATTTATCATCTAACGGTCAAATATAAAATTAAAAAGGGATAATTTCATACTTGACTATTAAATAGTTAATCAATTACATTAAAATTTGAGCACGAGTGACATCAATTATTCAATACTTGAAGACGAAAGAGTGAATATGTCCTCGGTTTTAACCCAAATACAATAAGTCCTAAAGCCCACTCAAATTTCTCCCATTGGAATCCACATCCACAGGCACAGCACAGCAGCCCCAATTTGTTTGGCGCCCTCTGCTCCACGCCACGAATTATACATCGAAGTATCGAACACATACGCAATGACGCACTCTCTTGCGTCCTCCCCATGAAAATTTCAGTCTTTCTCTTCCATATATTAAACAAATCTCCAGACTTTCTGCAGGACAGACCGGCAAAGACCAGGAGGAGGAGGAAATGGTGGGTTCAAGGCACGGCCTGCCCTCGTGGATGACCACGGTGGCCGCCAGCAGAGTTGATTTCGAAGGAAACGTGGATACCATGTTCAGAGAAGCCAAAGAGCAGCAGAAACTGTTCCATTCCATGCGTGTTTCCGACGCCAATTTGGGTTTTGGCGAGCGGGCTTTATCAGCCGCCGGTGCCGCATTCGTCTCTGCGATTCTCGTTAACCCTCTTGACGTTGCCAAGGTTCTGCTATTTCTCTTCCTTTTTTTGTATTCTTTGTATTTAAATTTGTCCATTTCTTCATCTTTTGGACAATTTGTCCCATTTTCCATATGCTGTGATTGAGATTCTGTATTCTTCTTAGAACCCTTATGAAAAAAATCATATATTTTTGCTGTTGTGAATTAGTAAAAGGGTAACTTTATTGGTTTAGAAATTACCCTTTTGAACCGATTGGTGTTTGCCTGAAAATTTTAGTCATTTGTGAAGGTTCATGTTTAGAAAGCTCTCTAACCTTGAGGTTTGTGTTATGGCAATTGATTGGTGTTATGCATTGTTTGTTGCATTGCCTTCAGACAAGGTTGCAAGCACAGGCTGCTGGAGTTCCTTATCAGGGGCTATGTGATGTGGCTTGCACAGAATCAAACTCGGTGTGTACACAACTGGTTTTCGATTACTTAGTTTAGTAGTACCTCTTTTATTGAGTTCATCTTCAATTCTTAATTGCTTTCATTAAGCTTGAATCATATCTAGCTTGTTTCATGTACGGATATTTCCTTGTACTGAAGCACCTTACATTTTGGCTTTGGGATCGTCTGTAGATGCTTTCAGATTTGAGATCTTCCATGCCACGCACAAGCTCAATACTTGGATCCAAGACTGTCTGCCCTCCAGAGTGTAACCAGTATAAAGGAACACTGGATGTGATGTACAAAGTCATACGCCAGGTTAGTGGGTGCATACATTTATGTTTATGTAGTATATTCATCTCCCAAAAAGGGTTGACTTATCTTCCTTTGTGTTTATGGTTCAATCTATCCTTAAATAACCTTTGCAGTCAAATAGAGTGCTCCTGTCATCTTGTGATGTAAAGTGTCGACCTTAAATATTTGTTTCATAGGTTAAACCAGGCATATGTTTTTTTAATTAACCTTATAATGAAAGCTACTCACTTCTCTCTCATTAATTGCAGACAGATTGAAAGTATTGTATACAGTCATAGATAGAGAGTAACTGGGTAAATTTCATGTTAAGACACTTTTCGTTGCCTTGTCCATGTGCCTAATGTATTGCCATTGAGGGACTATCTGTTTATTTAGGTCATCGTCTTTGAGTTTGTAGGCAAACTTTTTAATAATATTAGCGGGGTTTCACAGGAATGAATTGGTGCAGGAAGGATTTTGGAGACTCTGGAGAGGTACTACTGCAAGCTTAGCATTGGCCATGCCAACTGTAAGTCTCCTCTTTCCAATGATTACCTCTTTTATCTAAATGGTTCCTTGCAGCGTTAGATCCCATGCACTTTGTTCTGGAAGTAATGTTGCTAGTACTTACTTTTTCTATTTGTCAATCAGGTGGGGATCTACATGCCTTGTTATGACATTTTCCGCAATTGGATGGAAGATTTCACGACTACGAATGCTCCAAGTTTAACACCATATGTGCCATTAGTTGCAGGGTCAATAGCACGATCCTTAGCTTGCGTTTCTTGTTACCCTGTTGAACTGGCAAGGACGCGCATGCAGGTATC